GACAAATGAGGAGTGATTTTTCAAAACGCCGTATTTCCATTTTTACTTGAATGTCATTTTTTGACAAAATCACAAAGGTATGATTAAAAGCCATATTTTTAATGGTGAATATGTTGCACAAGATGTTGAATGTCAAGAATATGATGAAGAAGTGATGTGTTTATGTAATGAGCCAGAGATGGATATCCTTAAAATATAAGCCTTACATATTTTTCAATATTGTTAGCACAATAAAGGTATTTTTCCATATATTTTTTTAAAACGGTATTCAATAAAAAAGTAATATTTCCAAGTTTGTACACAGCGAAAAGGCTCATTTCCAAAATGATTTCATACAAAAGGTCTTATTTCCAAATCATTTTTAAAAATACCATTGCTATAAATATTTAAATTTAAACCACCAATACGACAGCAGGTTTGAAGTAGTATTATACAGGGTGTCCGGGAAAAGGAGGTCAATCCGTTAACCATATATTCTTTGAGTTAAAACAATAAGACTTTCATAATACCATTTTTCAGTTTAGAGCTTCATGTTCGATATACAGGGCGACAAAGTTTGAAATTTAAAACTGATTTTTTTTAATAATTCAAGTAATTGATAAGATATTTAGTTTAAATTCGGTACACTACTTTAACATAAATAGTTACATTTTTTGAGACCAACAAAACAAAAAACCATTGTCAAATAATCAAAATAGGGGAGACCAGTACTCACTGACTCCCCCTATTTTTTAGTACGTGCGCCAATGACTTCCAAACGGTATTTTTTCAGGTAATCATTTATTGTTGAAAATTTTTTGTCCCTTATAAAATTTTGTTAAAATGATTTGTTTTAGAGATAATTTGTAAAGTATGGGTCAATCCATATCAAATTTTTGAAATTTAATTTTTTTTTTGAAAAAATTTAGGTCATGTGATATATCATAAAAAAGGTCTCTAATAGGCCTTTAAAATAAGCCATCACTTACCTTTCTACTTTTAATAGTTTACGAGATATCGCTATTTTTGTAAGTACTTGCAAAACCCAAATTTATCGGAATTTTTTGATTTTCAAAAATCAATAAAACAAAAACCACCCATCGAAAAAAATTCATATAAGTATGGGATTTTTGAGTTTTTTGGTGGGGTAAACAAATTTACCAAAAATTATCAAAATCGGAGATGGTGGGGGAAGAACCTTTAGTTGATTTGATATGGACTGACCCATAGTTTACAAATTATCTCTAAAACAAATCATTTTATGAAAATTTTATAAGAGACAAATTTTTTTTAACAATAAATGATTACCTGAAAAAATACCGTTTGGAAGTCATTGGCGCACGTACTAAAATTAGGGGGAGTCAGTGAGTACTGGACCCCCCCTATTTTTATTATTTGACAATTGTTTTTTTGTTTTGTTGGTCTCAGAACATGTAACTATTTATGTTGAAGTAGTGTACCGAATTTGAACTTAATATCTTATCAATTACTCGAATTATTAAAAAAAATCAGTTTTAAATTTCAAACTTTGTCGCCCTGTATATCGAACATGAAGCTCTAAACTGAAAAATGGTATTATGAAAGTCTTATTGTTTTAACTCAAAGAATATATGGTTAACGGATTGACTTCCTTTTCCCGGACACCCTGTATATTCTTCAGAATTTTTTTTTTAAATTATCTATATTGCCCGAACATATATATTAGGGTGTCCCTTATTTTTATTTTTTTTACGCATACCTTCTAATTATATTTATTACTTGTTTATATACTCCCAGTAAAAATTTCAGCTCATTCTATAAACGGGAACCCGTGCCGACTTGCATCTAAACCCTCCGTTAGCCAACGTTAGGCGCGCGCGGTATTTTGTAACACGAAACACTTTAAAAAGAAGATATACTTTATGACTGTATTTTTCTAATGATTTTATTAAATATAATTACTAATTAATATTATTGCTTTTGTTTCTATCATTTGTTTCACTAATTTAGTTGATTTTATCCCTTAAATATATTAATATACTAATTAGTATTGCTAAAATATACTGTTATATGAAATTTCAGCTTTTTATAAGCATTTCTTTTCTTGATGTCCTCCCAAAAATATTTCAGACAGTTCAATAAGTTTTCGGTAGTCATCTCTCACAATAGACTCTTTTAGTTATTTATAGTAAAACCCATTAAGTTTATCATTTTCAGAGTTTACGGCCTATTCACCAGACCCTTCCGGGTAACTAGCCACTCCCTGTGAAAATATACATTTTTATCAAAGTATACACATAAATAAAACTATATTTTAACATTTGTCAATAATTTATAATATAAGGGTCACATAATAACAAACACAAAATGACCAACCGTGTTACAAAATACCGCGCGCCTAACGTTGGCTAACGGAGGGTTCAGATGCAAGTCGGCACGGGTTCCCGTTTATAGAATGAGCTGAAATTTTTACTGGAAGTATATAAACACGTAATAAATATAATTAGAGGGTATGCGTAAAAAAAATAAAAATAAGGGACACCCTAATATATATATATAACAGGTTATATTCGTTTTTTGAAAATGTGTTGCAAATGGAAATACGACCTTTTGAAAAATCACTCCTCAAATGCGCGTCAATCAAAAATAGTCCATAACTTTGTCGTTATTATGTTTGCGGATAAGGGTGGAATTTTTGAAAAGTTTAAACATTGTTAAATATTTCATGTAATTTACATATTTCAACAAATTACTTGAGAAAAACCATGGCAAATCAGGCTAACTTGAAACGTTAATAACTTTATTTTAAATGTAACACCCCTTTACGTAATCTAATAGGAAATTAAAAATATTCGTAAAATATTTGTATAGAAAAAATAAAACTCGAAAACTAATCACTTTAGATATATCCCATAGGACTAATCACTATGGTGTTTCAAATAAACGCATAAATTATTACGGTTATTGAGTGATTTTACCGAATATATTCTGTAAAAGGTAAATATTTTACAGAATAAAACGTTGGCTATTCTGTGGACAAAGTAATATTCTGTAATATTTTCTTACTGTGTAGTTTAGTCATTTTACTGAGAATTTTATGTAAATTTAAAAAATGTAAAAATATATGGGGTGTTCTATTTGAAACAACAAAGTTGATGTCACTTCCGATTAATCCGGCGTTTTGTTCAAATATTTTAGAAAAATAGACTAAAATGGATTATAAACGCTTTTAAAATTTTAAATCGATATCTTTTTTCGTTCCCCAGAAACTTCTAATGGACCACGAATGTGAAACAAACTGTATATGTTCGCGCGATAGAAGTTCTTTGACGTTCCCCATGCAAATAAATTATTTGAAATAAGTAGGAAAAACGATAAAATGTTTGAAGAAAGATTAAATACAATTATTTAAATTTTGAAAATTTTAAAATTTTTGTAAATTTTAAACAGTTTGCAAATTTTAAAAAATTTGTAAATTTTATAAATGTAGATCTTTTTGGAAAATTCAAAATGTTGGATGTTTTTAAAACGTGTCCTATCCCATTTTCCACATTTTTTTATTTTTACGTCTAATTTTTTTTTTATTCTGAAAAAAAGTATGGTGACTTTTCTAGTAGAACAACACATAATTTAACTTTATAATTCAATAGGGAAGGGTAAAAAATATAAAAAATATTGTGTGGAAGTAATGGAATGTTTATTTAATTATAATAAACAAAAGTTTTAGTGTCACACTGTATTATTTCGATATGTAAATTTAAAAATAAAATATGTAGAGGTACCGGTTCGCTAAGCAAGCAAAATAAAATCAATTCAAATTTAGTTTAATATAAAATATACATAATAAAAAGAAGACAGGATGTGGTTGGCTGTAAAAGGCGCGTGGATGTAATCCCGCCTCTAAAACCTGCGAAAGATCTGCATGTACAAGTAGTGAAATTGCAGCATTCTGGCAATATTTTCGGTGTAAAGCTTTGACATCACTTTCGTCGCCTGCTAAAATTTTATTCTCAATGCGCCTTAAGAAGTAAAAAATTAAACGTCAAAAACTCTTTGTTGTCACATTCTCATTCATAGACCCCAAATTAGTAAAAAAACTTCTTTCTTCTAAAAGACTCATAAAAATGTTCAATAGGTATAGTGTGTTCACGATGTCGTTAACACCGATGTTTTGTTTGTATGTTGGTAATTAAAGTACATACACATACTGCACGGCGGTGTCGTGACAAGAAAGAACATGCTGATTACGACAGCATCCTTATTAGTATTGCCAATACATGTGACAGAGAGATTTTACAGTTAACTTTCGTTAGATTGATGATAAAATTTTAAGTCTGAAGATTAGGAACATGATGGAATGGTTAATTGTTAGAGACCGGATTGTAGGCAAAATACCTCTCGGTAATTTTGATAGGCCATTAAAATTGTTTAGTGCAAAATGTGTTTTGGACGTTTTTAGTACAATTTAACCCAACATTATTTTTGCTTTTTTCGACTAAAAAAATACTAAAATGTCTAAACCACCCCCATATTTGCAAACCTAATAACAAAAAAGTTATTGGTTAATTTTGATTGACGCGCATTTCTCAAATTTTAACGAAAAAATTAATTAATTAATTTTATTTTATTTTATTATTTTTAATGTGCCTTCAACAGGCACCAGGCCCAATTACAGAAGTACACAATGACAAACACAAATACAAATACACAGCCATACCCCTGGTGGGATTCGAACCCACGACCTGTCGGCTTGTAGTCCACCGAGGGTGGTAATTTTACTTAGAATTGTATGTTAAACCGGAAGTGGAATTTTGTTTAAAAATATTTTAGAAAAATAGACTTAAATGGATTATAAAAGCTTTTAAAGTTTCAAATGGATATCTTTTTTCGTTTCCCAGAAACTTCTAATGGACCACGAATAAGATACACCCTATATATTTATATATATATACAAATATATATATAATATAGAGTACATATTACACTTTTGTATCTTTAATTTTTTGGTATTTTTGTGTAAAAAAATAAAACTTTTGTTACAGAATGGAATGCCAATATGGGAGGACCTCATAGCCAAAGCCACCAAACTTCACTCATCTTTGAAGTAAGTATTACCAACATCAAATGATTTACTCCACGAGTGTTCGTTTTTTCTGTATTTAGATTTTTTACTGGGGTGTCTTAATTATTTTTTTTACAATTAATGGACCAATGCTTAATGTAGGAAATTTTACGCTCTACAAAAAAGGTATTTTACGTTTTTTTCATAAAACCATGCAATTATAATTATTATTATTTTAAGCACTTGTTAATTTTAACAAAATAATAACCAGATTTTATGATAATCTGTTATTTAAATGAATATCTAAATAGGTACTTTGTAATTATTACCGACATTCTGTAGATATAATAACAAAATTCGATGTCAATAATTCAACCATAATTCTTGTAAATTTCAAAACAGACCAAATTTTTTGTAGTCCCAGTAACAAAAGTATTTTTTGGAAATTGGGAACTTCAAGATTTATGTATTTATTAACACAAAAATAACGTAGGTGCCCAAAATTAAATAACACACAATTTGGTAAAATATAACTATCAGTCCAGGTACTACAACACTAAGGGCCGGTTTATCAATGTCCAACTAAAAGTGGCGGGTAAGTATCTGACAGTTATCCGAATAAAAGTGTTTTTCTTCACCTCGTAAGGTTCCAGTTTCTTATCTGCCAGTTTAGCAATTTGGCAATTGGGCAACACTGTCAAGATACATTTTAATTGGTTAAATTTAAATTCATGGCATGCGCATAAAACACATAACCTCAAACGACTCTTATTTTGTGTATATTGTTATGCTTCTTTATCATTTTATAGGTGTAGATTAGGGTGGTCGTTAAAAATTAAATTTTTGCGACGCCCCCTAAAAAGCTTTGTTTTGATGAAAAAACACTGGGATTTTTTTAAATTAAAAACATGTGCCTCAAGACGATCTAAGTTAATTTTTTTGTGGGAATTTTTTATGAAAAATAAAATTTTATTCGAAATATAAACAATTATAGAACCCAAATCAATAAAAAAACAATAGTTAATCGAAATAACAATAGACAAAAATTAAAATTCAAAATTTTTCCCAGTCTATTAAATAAAAAAATGAAAGATATTCAAATTGATATTTTTATTTTAAAACTCAATTAGTACAAACGTAATTTTAATATCTAGATTTCTTCACTCCAAGGTGAAGTTATTTCATTGTTAACAATTTTTAAATCTCAAATAATTATTATTCCATATTTTCAGAAAAGACATGATTATACCTATAATTAACTTAGATCGTCCTGAGGCACGTGTTGTTTTTAATTAAAAAAAAAATAAAAAAATTTCCTAGTGTTTTTTCACGGCCGACGCGTAGCCTACAATTGAGCGAAGCACAAAAAGGCACTTCTTGGCCGAATGGCATACAACATTTTATCTTCAAAGCACTTTATATAGGTCAGTTTAATTCAACATCAAAGCGGCCTGACCTCACTTTTTTAGAATCTCATTTATTTATTAGCTAAAGATTACATTAAATGTACAATAATTATTATTGCTTTTAGAAGCAGTAATAGTTTGACAATACCTAGCAACATGATTTAAGTAGAAATGGATTTTTGCTATTACATTGAATTCAATTCATTGTTTAATAAATAGGTAGGTATCTAATTTCAATTTGTTTGGATTTTTATTTAAAAAATAGGTAGAATGTTTAAGCTGTGTTTAACATTTAATTTCACTGAAAACTTAAAGCAAATTAAAACTTAAAGATAATTTAAATCGTAGAAAAAGAATCGTGCGTTTTCTTGGTTGCCTAACCTCACTTTTTGTTTTATTATTTTACAATAATTTAATGAAAAATATTAAACATTAACAGTAAAACAAACAAATTAGTGCTTATTATAAATAAATTAAACCACTTTAGTACGTTAATTTCTTAGAAAAGTATTAATTTGTCAAAACAATACCCCTAGCGAGAAAAAATCAAACTAATTACTTGCCTCATAAAAAATTTTATCGGCCTAGGCCATAAAAAGGTATTTCTTTATCGAATGTTGACAACAATAAAGTTTAAATTATAGACCGCGTGAAGATAAATATCTTTTATACCATTTATTATCTTTTATTTTTTGTTACACACATTAATTTAAAAATATCGCATTTTTAAAATAAATCTACCAAAAAAAATCTATCGGTAAATTGTTTTCTTGATACGTGGTCAAATATGTAGTACATATCCGTAAAAGTTTATATTTCCTCCTCTATTTTTGTTTCTGCAGCGGATATAAAAAAACCGTCATAATTTTGAAATTGTCCTTCCCGTTTTAAAACTGTATAAGTCTTCTCTCGTGTCAACAATTTGTTCACCAAAAAAATCTCCAATATTTATTTCAAAAACAACACTACACAAACACAAATATAACCTATAAACCGCGATAACTGCTAGTTAATTCACTATCTGACACTTGCAGCTTCCAGTTAAATTTGCTTCCAGTTATCTTAATTTAAGTAGTAAACGTTAGTTGCATTGATAAACAGTTCAGCTACCACTTTAATTTTTATTAAGTGGACATCGATAAACCGGCCCTTACCCTTAACCACTGAACTAATCCCCTAATTTCAGTTTAAAACCAGTTATGGCATTTTTTTCGGGATACATGCAAATAAAAATCCCATCTATTTCGTATGTGAAAATTGTCGCGACCGAACGACCGACATCCATGTTTACCTACCCTAATTCCGACGTTGTCACATGTAACATAAGCACATCTGTTTCCTGTGCTACTGCCCAGTATAACAAACAAAACAGTGGGTCATGATGATTTTCTTCTGTTTGCCAAATCATCTACGACTAGTTGACAGTGATGAAATATTTTCGTGCCTATTTGGCAACATCGTAATAAATTTTTATGTATTTTTATTCGTTTAATTTAAATTAAATAACTCTCTTTCCAAGTAATAAATCAAAGAGATATTGGGATGTCAATCTATTAATTTAGGATCAATTTATCAAAAAGGGATCTCACAGGATATCGACTTTCTTTCATATTTATTTATTCCTTTTTTTCTCACATAAAAACATTAAATTTAGTTAAAGGACGGTTTTATTATAATCATAAAAAGTTTTTATTAAATACCATTAATTCGCTTTATTTTTGGTATGCCTAATTTTTATTTGTTTCTTTCAGAGCCACGATATTGGCGGTTACAGCCTACTTGGAGGCTTTCCAAAAAATCGCCGATTCCGCCACAAATGCAAGAGGTAAGAAGCAAAATCCATATTTTTGATTTTTCAAATCACAACTTTTTTATAAAGAAAAATATTTTTTCTACTCCCACCTTTAAAACGCCCTTTACATGTTTCCATGACACTAAGTGACCTTTTAAATACACATTGACAAGTTGTGGCTTTATGGCGCTTTAGTCACGGGCTGAAGTTATCAACAGGTTTTTAGTCACGGACTGAAGTTAGTTTTAAGTTAGTTGACAGTTGTCAAATGTCATACAATCGTTAAAATAAAGTGCCTTTCTTGTAAAATAATACTAAATGTGAAAATTATTTTATTATATCAATACAAAAATACAAAAGTATTAAATAGTTTCTCAACGCCAATATTTGAAAAGTTTATATGAACATTGTAAACTATAACTTAAATTCCGGCACGGACTCCACTGAAAAGTGCTCATAAAACATTTTCTTTAGTTTCACTGTGAAAAACTGTCAATTTTCAAGAAATACATTTCGATTTATAACCTTTATAATCTGTATTTATAAAAATTTGACATTTGACGGTGACACACAGATTCCCCTATTGTTTCATAGATGGCGCTCCATACAAATTTTTGATTTAAATCATTTTAAGATAATAATGTTTGTCGTAGAAAAAGTATGCATCTCGTTTATAAACTTTTCTGTACACTCATTAATTTAAGCACTCGCTCGCAGGCTCGCTCGTGCCTAAATTAAATTCGTGTATAAAATGGCGTTTATCAAACTTGATACATTTACTACTTTAAATGCGCTGATAAAAATACAAAAACAACAAATTTCTGTTAACTTTAATTCATGAGAAATTAACGTTTTAAAAGTAGGTAAATCTAAAATATTGTACTAAATAATTGGTCATTATCTTTAATTGCTCGTTTTCAATGGATTTAATAGATCGTTAAAGTTATAATAAAACTTTAATGTTTATATTATATTGGAGTAAAATTGACATGCGACTGTTACCTAAAAAATATAACCTAAATTCCTCCTAAATTAAATATGATTAAAATTTGACTACCTAACACTTAAATTGTAGTTAATCAAATTTTGATTGTGTGGCACAAAAAAACTTGTTTTATTAAATTTAATTTAATTTCAAACAATCCAACCAAACAAAACAAAATGATAAAGTTATTTTTATCATCAGATCTCGCTTCACCCGTCTTTTATGCCATCATTTACTCTTACTTCAAGGCTTCAGTATCCTTTTTTTAAACCCCAAGGACCAAACTTCCCTGAAAAGGACATTATCTAGGATCAATTCCGTTCCTACAAGGCACAGTGAGGCAATTTTCTTAATCAAAAATTGTAAACAGAATTTTTATTAAACGTTAGTGATTTTTGAGAATTGACTCATTTTTTTGTTTTGGTTAAAAGAAAATTTTAAAAGCAGAATTTTTTCACTTTTTAACTTTTTTGTAGTTTTAACTAAACGGCCATTTCAAGCGCGCGAAACGCATGAATTACAAAACTGTTTTTATAAAAAAAATTGTAGATTATTTATTATATAATATTTTGGCATCAAAATTGTCAAAAATATTCTTCTTTTATTAGGTTATACATTCAATAAAAAAAAACGCAAGAAATATTTTATAAAAGTAGATATAATTTTAATAATTGAAAAGTGTGGACGGGACAAAAAAAAGATTTATCTTGTCCCGTCCATCCCTGTCAATTATTGAAATTATCTCTACTTTTATAAAATATTTCTTGCGATTTTTTTTATTTAATTTATAGCCTTATAATAGAAGAATATATTTGACAATTTTGATGCAAAAATAATATATAATAAATTACCTACAATTTTTTTTATAAAAACAGTTTTGTGATTTGTCCCGTCCATCCGCTTGAAATGGCCGTAAACACTTTTTTGTTAAACACACAAAAAATTAAAAAGTATAAAATAATAATTTTTTTGTAAGTGTTTTACATAAATTTTTTCTGTCAGTGCATAATGTTTATTAAATTTTTGCATTTTATTAAAAAGTCTAACTCTAAAGTGTACCAATGTGCAGTCAGTTTTTCACCCAGAAAAGCTCTTATACGATTCAATTTGGTTGGAGGCCAAAAAAACTTTTATAAAGGACATAGTTTTTTTCAAAGCCCTTTTTTATCCCTTTGGCTGGTGTATTGTTAGCTTTAAGTGGCTTTAAGCTTGTTTAATTTTTAAGCAGGCCGAGTTTTTTTATGTTTGTAAGCGATGCGAGTTATGTTTGACGCATTCCTGGGGCGACAAACATGAAAAACAATTTTGTAAAATTATATGATATTTATTAAAATATTTTTCGCAAAATCTGCACAAAAAATACATTAAACTTTTGTCCTAGTTTCACAACTCTCGTGGAAGTTATACTGAAGTTATACGAGATATACTGAAAACGCAATTTTACAGTTTGTTTTATTTTATCAGTATCCGAAAGACATTACGTGCACCCTTGCGACATTCCATGATTACCAAGCGGATATTTTCCGGGCGAAAACAATTTTAACTGCATTAGCTCTTTTAAAATGATTCAAAACATTAAAAATAATATGAAAACATTTGAAATAACATCTCCTTATAAAAATAAATAAAACAAAGAAATGCATTGAGAAGAAATTGCAAAATCATTGAGAAACAAAGAAAAAAGTCACTTTCTTTGGTTTGCATTCTTTTTTTGTTTTTTTACAATTGTTTTCTTTAAAGACTGTATAGTCTGGTGAGTTTAAATTGTTAATTTTTTCATTAAACTTATCAGAGCATTTCATTTATTAAACGTACATGTGAATGTCCGTATACATAGTTACTTGTAGTAATTTACTACCTATAACGTTTACAAGATTATATTTTTAAAGATAAAATAACATCATTACAGTCAGAGAAAATAGTAGGAACTTTATGTACCTACCCATTTTTAAGAGGGCTGTACTTTAAAATGTAAAATTAATGAAATTTGTTTTTATTATTTTGGGTGGAATTGTTCAAAATAAGTAAAAATATCGAAAAATGTCCTTAAACTACACAGAGAAAAGTGGATTTTTAAATTTAGTACATATTCCTATAACTTTGGTAGAAGTTACTTAAAACTTAGAAGTTACTTAAAAGTTACTAGAAGTTACTTAGAAGTTACTTAAAACTGATTAGTTTATTTGTAAAACCAGAGCATATTTTGTAATATTATGCGGACTGTATAATAACATTACTAAATTATTTCTTACATTTAAAATACTTCTATAGTATACAGGTAAATTCTCCTACTTATAAAATAAAATATAAAAAACCCATTACCTGGATGTTATATAAATTATGTTATTAGATTAAGTTTGAAATCATTTTTGAAAAAGCTACTGTGTTAGCGAAATATTTGTCAAAAATAAAATAACGATGTAAAACTTAAAAAATATTTTTTTTGTTTTTATTCATTTATGTAATACTAATACTATTAAAATTCCGTTGGTTATTGATTGTTAAAAGTAATATATCCTAAATATTAAGGATTGGTATTTTATTTTATCTACTCCAACATTAACAAGCTTAAGCTGTGACTTTATGGCGTTTTAGTTACGTGCTGACGGTAGAAACAGTGGCTTTTAAGCTTTTAGGTCACGGGCTGAAGTAAGCTTTATTATAAATTGGGAAAAAGTGAGGTTAATTTTTAACAAATAAAATTGGCTTTAAATTCTGTTTTGTGTTCGTCGTAGATAAAGTATAGTATGCAACTCGTTTATAAACTTGTCTAGACACTCATTTTTATTTAAAACTCGCTCGCAAGCTTCGATCGTGCTTAATTAAACTCCTAACTAAAATGGCGTTTATATAACTAATACATAATATACTATTATACACACAACCAATCCTATATATACCCAGTAATTACGAGAAACAGTACCTATTTTACTTAAAAAATAAATGAATTGAAAATAAATAGCACCTTAGCCTAACCAATTTTATTATACAAAAAAAGATAAAAAATAATAAAAACAAATTTTGTATTGAACAAATAAAAAAAAAAGTGAATTTCTCTGAGAAAAAACTTTCCGGTAAATTAGAATTTAAGAAATAATAGGTTTTTGTTAATTAAATAATTCGTATTGTCACCTCTAGCATCAATGCAAGCATTAATTCGACGAGGCATGCTTCCTATTAATTTATGAATTTCTTCTTGGAAAACATTTTCTCACCCCTCTAAAACTGCATTTATTAGTTTATCTGTATTGCCAGGGATATTTTGACTAGCTATAATCCTTCTTTTAAACTTATTCCATAAGTTCTCAATTAGATTTAAATCCAGTGAACAAGAAGGCCACTAAAACAGTCACACCTTCCATTTCCAATTTTTGTCAACTCTGCTGGTAAATGGAGGTGCATTATCCGGTATAAATCACGGAAAGCAACTTTGCCTTGTAGAACTAAATCCACATACCTTGGACCGCTTAGGGGTTGTCTGATGAAAATCAAAGGAATGTTTTCACCAATCATAAAGCCACCCCAAAAAATTACACTTCCTCATCTTCAATTGTCCAGTTTTAATGCTTTGAATACCAATTTACGGGGCTAACTCTATTTTGCACTAATATTTTTAGAACCCTTAACTGTGTTCTGTGACTTTTTTTGTTTATGCCGGATAATGCACCACCGCTGATAAGTATAGTTGTTAAAAACTGTTGGAAAGTGTGAAGTGCTTCTGTAAGAAACCCAACGTGTAAAACGAATATTAATCTGTATAAATAGCATAAACCCAAAGCACAAGAATTGTAAACAACATAAAAATGGCCGCCATTCGAGTCTGTGCAGAACAGATCGTGCAATTTCTAATAAAAACTCACGGGTTTTTTGACACAGGAAAGGGTATTTTTGTCACATCAATGAGTAGTGTCAGGCAAAGATTATCTTTGGTGTTAGGATCTTTAGTGAGCAATATCCTGCACATTAAATATTATTTCCAATAGTTTATTGAGTGGATTACTGTTCTGCGCATCAATGGTTTGTTTTATTTTATTCGTGTAGACCTTCA